AGAACAGACCAGAGGGGACTCCCCCTGAAACACGTGCTCATACAGCTCTGTTAATCACTGTGTGTGATATCTGTGCACCTTCTAATAGCTGTGTATTTTATTAAAAAGATGTAAAAAACTCAAATGCTTCGAATGTGCCCTGCATATACTGCAACAACACACACATTGCAAAACTCTAGCCTCTAGCCAGTCAGCCAGGATTGCTGCTAAAGGATTGAAAGGGGCTGGGTGAGCTTTTCCACCAGCTCCCTAAGCACCCCTGATGGATCCCATGTAGCCCCCTAGACGTGTGTGTCTGAGTGGTGTGGCAGGTCACCAACCATTTCTTCCTGCATTATGGGGACTTCATTCTGCTCCCTGTCCCTGTCTTCCAGCTCAGGGCACCCAGAGAGCAGCTGGTGCTGTTATTGCAGACTGAGGCAAAGAAGGCATTAAGAACCTCAGCGTTTTCCTCATCCTTGTGTTGTCCCTTTGTTTCCCTCTGCATCCAGTAAAGGATGGAGATTCTTTTTACCCCTCATTTTATTAGTGATGTAATTGCAAAAACATTTTTTACTGTCTTTTATGGCAGTGACCAAATTAAGTTCCAGTTGGGCCTGGGCCCTTCTAATCTTCTCCCTGCATACCCTCACAACATCTTTGTGGCCCTCCTGAGTGGCCTGCCTCTTCCAAAAGCAATATACTCTTCTTACCCCTTAGTTCCGGGCAAAGCTCTATTTAGACAGGCTACTCTTCTTTCCTGGCGGTTCACCTTTTGGCACAGAAGGATAGCCTGCTCAAAATTGTTGTAAGAGAAAACATTGTTTATACTTACCAATGATGTTTGGTCCTCAAAAGGCCTGGTAATATTTTTCCTGAGAGGAGGAGGAAAAAATGAGTTTAAAAAAAAAACAAAACAAGAAAAGAACCAGAACAGGCCCAGATAGCCACTTCTTATTAATTCTCTGAGAATAAAAAGTTTTGCATTCTACCAGCAACTCCAGTAGTAAAGGCTCAGTCTGAGTTCAAATCACAAGTCATATTACTACTGCCAGGAGTGCCTTAGTGCCATCACTGTTATCCTAAGTACTTTCCTCCACATTTCCTGCCTCTGGGGCCTGACCTGCAGAACACCACCACCACTACCACCAGTGACACACGATGAGTAACTGCCTTTGCCTGCTCATTCATTAAATTTAGACAACAATTTACAGCTGTTTCTGCACTACATTCATACAGACACCGGGTTCCCATTTTGAACAAGACTTGGAGCTGAATCCTGCTCCGTACCAGCTGCCACAGAACAGGGCTCAGCACCAATGCTGATCACACATAGCCTGTTTCCAGTCTATTGAAAATTATCATCAGTCATCTTCTGCACCCTGGTCACTGTTCAAGCCCCCAGATGAGCCTGCATCTCTATATTCATGCCCTGAAACTACCAAAAGCTGTCTGTCTGCGAGAAGACTCAAAGGTGTCAACGTGAGATCACTTACCTTTTATACAGCACAGCAAAAGGCTTCTTCACAGCATACTGCAAAACACAAAGTTTAACACATGTCATCTCTAAAACATACACAGCAGTGCTGTCTTTACAACCCAACAGTTTGCAGGAACACGTCAAACAGTAACTATGCAGAGCAGGCTAGAAGGTACCTCAAAAGGCCTGCTCACAGTGACACCCTTTGAGCTGGTGACAATCTCGCTTCCAAATTAATTGCACAAGAAGTTATTTGTAGAAACTGAGAAATAAAAAATTAACCGAGAAACAGCTGAAATCAAAGCCATGTAATGCAATCCCTCTGCTTCTAAGGGGCATAAGGAAAAACAGGGAGAGAAAACAACTTGATTATAGAAGCATAAAAGAATAGGAAAACAACAAAGCAAAGAGAAAAACTAGTGTAGGAACAGCTATATTTTGAGTTATGGAGTTAGGAGACAAGATTGGTAACTTCAGGTAGAGACAAGATTGGTAGTTTTAGGAGAGGCTGAAAGCTCCCTATCAATACACACAGTCAGCTTACAGGATTCTGGGGTATAACTTAGCTGTGTGATACAGTCCCAGTTCTGTGCCTAATCCTCTTAATCGTCTTGTTTTCAAACAGACTTGGCAACACTTCACTTATATACTAGACAATTGTGAAAAAATAAAAGAGCAAGCTCAAAACTTCTGGCAAAGAAGAAACTGGAAGGAAGCAATCTTCATTAAGAAGCAGGTAATGACACCTTTCGAGTACTGGCCATTCTGAGATTTGGGTTGCAGGGAGAGTGAACATACTGATAGTACAGCAGAGACAGAAAATTGTAAGAAAGAGAGAGGAAGGTTGCATGCTATGTCCAACAACTTACAATGTCTTTAAGCACTTCGGTCACTGTTAAATTTGCATTTCCTCCTTTTATGAGCATAGCATTTTTTGTATTTTCGTTTAGCTTGGGCTCTCTCTTCTCAAGAAATCTTTTTGCTCTCTTAGTTTTAGGCTTTCTGTAACAATAAGTTAAAAGTTAAAAGCTTAATATACGTAACAAGACTTGACACTACAGAAAACAGTTAAGCCAAACAAGAACTGGAACAAACTGTTCAAATAACTTGTTTCAATGACTAATTGAATAAAAAACTAATCCCAACCTGCAGAATTACAATCAGTGCCAAAAGCCTGCCTCAGGTGAATGTGTTTTTACTGCCACTCCTCTTCCTCTCTGTCCCTCCAAATTAGCAAAGGTGATTTTACCATCTTGTGCTTTCCAGTTTCTGCTAATTTAGAGCTGAAGCTATACTAGAATTCCCAGCCTACTGCCAGGCTGAAGGATTCCCCTACCACCAGCTCCCTCAACAATCCAGAAACTTGAAAGTTTCTGGGAGAAGAAAACACACAGATTCAACGCCAGCTGGTCACCGCGGTCATTTTAAGCTACCAACTGAGTAAGGGCTACTAAAACGACGGCAGCGCTCGGCCTCCTGTTCCCCGCACGTTTTCCACACGGCTTTTCCCTCTGCTGTCTCCCCCGCTGTGCCCCGCCCGCGGGGTTTCCCAGAGCGCGGTGCCGCCACACTCACACCACCCGCTCCAGCGCCTCCATCGCTGCCCTCACGTGCGGGAGCCGCCGCGCGCGTCACATCCGCCGGCAGGGCGGGGCGGGGCACGGCGCATGCGCGGGGCGCGGCTCCGCTCAGCCGTCCCGCGGGGCGAAGCGGCCGGGGGGAATTCCGTGCGGAGAGCACTCGGGCTTCAGCCTGGAGCAGGGGAGACTGAGGGAGACCTCATTGCAGTCTGCCACCTCCTCCTGAGGGGAACAGGAGGGGCAGACACTGATCTCTGTGGTGACCAGTGCCAGGACCCGAGGGAATGGCCTGAAGTTGTGTCAGGGGAGGGTTAGGTTGGGTATCAGGAAAAGGTTCTTTCAACCTCAACCCAGAGGTTGTATGGTTGCAAAAGTTAGGGTTAATAATAGGAACAAAAGCTCGACCATTAGAAATAACACTTAAAATATTAGAAGACCCCAACATTTTTATGAATGTACTCATTGTGTGTGATAGGCATAAAATGTTTTCCAAAAATAATGCTGATTACTAGATGAACAAACAGCTCCAGTGCAGCGCTGAAAGAAAAGGCTGAGAAGGCCAGAAACCAATGCTGCTGCTGGAACACTCCTCGTACATAGGGAAAAAACCTGACGTACATAGTGCCCAACTAAGCAACGAGTTAACAAAACATGGGAGAGTTGCTGTGTTTGCATTCTGTCCCAGAACAAACTCGAAGCACCTCTCTGTTCTCAGTGGCTGAAGCAGCCGTGGCAAGAGCCCTCTCTGCAGGAGCCTCAGCTGCCACCACAAACCCTCCCTCCGGCACTCAAGAGCCTGCGTGTTCCCAGGATCGTTATTCCAGTTATAATTGTCCTCTATCTATCAGCACCACACAAATCAAGCGTGGATGATGATGTTTTTAAACTTCCATGGTTGCAATTAAATCCAGAGGGATGGCTGTGCGGTCTCCCTGAAACCTCAAATGCAACACCACCATGTGAAAGATCCACACCCAGGCTGGAGGCACACAGAACATGTTCTCTTTTCTTCCTCTCCCTGCCTCCCTTTCCCTCAAGGAGTCAAGTTGCTTCTACACAGACCAAAAAAAAAAAAGAGAATAAATGGGACTGATGGTTTGAAACTGTCGCTGTTTTAATGACTTCTCTTTACTGATGCTGTGCTGTGAACAATGCTGTGGGTGAGCTTCTCCTCTGATCATTACTATATTACATAATTATGCTGGAATTAATGAGGTGTTCTCATCCCCACAGCACTGTTGCAGTTACACTGTTTTCAGAGAGGCAGAGAAAGGTAGGAAAGAAGAAGGGTCAGAGAGAAAATGTTTTCTGTTTTAAAATTGTGTGCTTTTGAAAACATTATCCTGAGTGCACCAGACACTCAACTGTGATACAGAACGGTGTGTGGCAGAATAAATGATGTAGCAATATCAACCCACAGACTAGGTAGGCGGCACAATACGGTCACATGGACTAGTCTGGGAACCACTGATGCATGGGTACAGGATCTTAAGCATAAAACCCTTCAGGAAAATGCCAGAAAGGAAGATTAGAGACAAGAAGTTACTGTGAGAAAAAAGAAAAATGGGGTGACCACATTTCCTTTTGTATGACACGCGTTATATTATAGAGAAAATGGGGGAAGCAGTGTGACAGATGCCTCTAAGACCTGGATTTCATTTGCTGACAAGTTTGCAGGGGTTTTCAAGACTTTAGTGGACAAAGCCCTGACCAACTTGTCCTGAATTTCAGTGTTGACCCTATTTTACATAGGAAGCTAGATGAGAGACCCTCCTAAAGTCCTTTCCACATGAAAGATTTCTAAACTCCATCAAGGAGACAAAGGACACTAGAGAGAATCTAAACTAAGCAATTTGAGGAGTATTCAATAAAAGCCACACTTTTTTGATTTGTTTTCTTTCAATAACTACAGTACAAGAGCAGACAGAGTATGTGGGTGAATACGACACACAAGGTGAAGCTATAGTTGAAAAAATTCAGGTCTTTATTTTAAACAATGGTGTTTCTTTCTTTTTACAAAATGTTTCCAACTCTACAATACATCAACATTTTTCTAAGCTAGGAGTTTCTTTCAATTATGTAACCATTTCCATTTGTCCAGTTTTGAGGTAGGGATACATACATTTCCAGTCAGTAATTATAAAAAACACTTAAGCCCTTCCCACTATAATTCAAACACAAAAGCCATGCACAAGAACAATGTCTATTTTTCCACTACTCATTTTTCAGAGAAGGTGGAAACCATGTAATGGCCTATAAAAGTTGGCCCATTAATTCTGTGAAGAAATCCTGAAAAGATCAGAGTTAGTATCATGGAGGTGCATCCTCTAAGGCAGCATTTCCAGAAGGAGATTCCTCTGCCCCAGAAGCAGAGCTGTCAGGCAGAGGAACAGGGGCATCTATTTCCAAGGTGTGCTGCTTTTCCAGGTCACAGTTCATGTTAGAATTGCCTTTGCCACTCACCTCTCCCTCTGACTCTTCAGTCAGTTTATCTTGGGCCTGAGCTGACTCCTCAGAATCATCCTTTTCAGGCAGAAAACTGCAAATCATATTAAGCCTGCTGTAGGAAAAATCTCTGTCCTTGATCTGCAACCACTCTACTCCACCTGATGTAAAGAAGGAAAATTCTATTAGTGACCAAAGGAGTTAACAGCAGTACTTAAATTAAGTTCACTGTTATTAAGGCTGAGCCTGACCAAGATTAAAGTAAAAGAACCACTTAGAACAGAAAGATGTGCATATCCCTCACCTATTACTTTTCACATACCCATTTACTACTTTTCATAGTCAGAAAATACAATGCAGGACTAAAAAGATATTTCCTTGGATCCAGTATGGCAGTTCCTGTGGTATTTAGGTATCTGATGCCACTCTTAAACTCTTAAAATAACTTAAACATAAATCAAAATGCAGAGAAAATATTTCACGAATGCAATGAAGAGAACAGAATATTTGTTCACCTAAATATTAGGTCTTCTGGCAATTGGTAAAGACAACAGAGATAGGACACAAGTTCTTGCACTCTCTTTAACTCAAGTGTAACAACAAGTTGGAAAAACGGGTTGAAACCAACCCCAAACAGAAATGGGATTTCACTCCCATTTTGATTTTTACTCAGTACAAGCTGTCAATTCACAAGATGTTGTAGCTACTTTGTATGCACAAGTTAAATTCCTGTTATGGTACAGAAACAAAGTGGTTTTCAGTACTTATCAGCAGTACTGGTGCTCCAGAATAAAAAAGGCCTTTGAATTAAGCAAAATACTCTCTAGTCTCAATTTAATATTACCTATACTATCACAATAATGGTTTCAGTTTAATATTACATAATTAATTCTACAGAGAGAAGTGGTATGTGCTGTTGATAGGAATGCTGATGTTTTGTTAGATTCTAGTTGACATTTCATTTTATATCTCCTATGGCCACTGTCCACCTGACTGCTCATATTTAAGGTAAAATGGCTACATATTCTTAAAATATGAAGCAGTAACAGTGACTTGAATGCAAAAAAAAAAGCAGCTAAAAGCAGTAGGACAGTTCTAATGAATACTGCTATATATAGTAGGACAGTCAGTATTTGACTATGTAAAAGTTCTGACTTCTGTACAAAAAATAAATAAAGCAAACATATGAACATCAAGTTCTGCCTACAGAATGAAAATCAGTATAAATGGTCTTCTAGGTATGTCTTTGCAAGTAATTTAAATTCATTTCCATTTAACTGTAAATTCAATAAGTACAATTCAGTTCTTTTCAACAATTACAGAGACTCAGAAAGTCCTTAGAAAAAAAATTATGGAAGTAGGAGAAAAAAATTCAAGAAAGAACTACTAAACAGCACCTCTTATTTTGAAACTTCTAGATGACAGAAGAGTGTACCAGGGAGCATCAGCATATGTTTTCCCTGCTCTTACACTTCTTTGTAGTGACCTCCTAGTAGCCATTTCTGGAGGTAGCACTGGTCAGAAATGTATTTAATTTTTTAATTTAAATATACACATACCATGCCTAAAGAAGAAAGTTCCTTTAACTTCCTGCATGCTCTGGAATCAAATATTTAATAAAGGCTGACTCTCCCTGTGGATTGAGCATAATTCACTCATGTCCACATGCATAAGAGCAGAATCACTCACCAACATTCTCTTCTCCTTCCTTCTTTTCAGTCAGAAGGGTGCGTGTCATGTTCAACTTCTTCACTGTGTGGCACTTGTATTTCAGCTGTACTTTTTGGTTGCCTTCTGCATCTACTAAGAAGAGAGGAGAAAAAACAATACCCAAACCCCAATCGTTATAGTGAATTCCACTAGCAACTGAAACAAGATAAATATTTTTAACCTCCCCAGCTACTGAAACAAACAGAATGTCAAATCACAACAATTACCTTGCTCTGTGTTTTCTTCAAAAACCACACAGGTTCCCAAGGCATCTATGAAAAACAAAGTGAGACTAATTTGTATCACCTGCAGAAAATGTGCCCACTGGTCCAGCTGTGGGAATGTTCTGACTTCCAACCCCTCACAGAGGTGCAGCACTGGTAAGGAACTCAGAACAGGCAGGAGTATCACAGTCATTGGAGCCACTACAAGGGAGGATCCCTGACCATTCTCCTCCAGACCAGCATTGTCACCACAGGGCAAATGAAAGAGCTACAGATTGCATAGGAGACAACAGCACTTTAAGGCATTTTATATCCCACATTTGTGTCTGCACTAATACTAGCTGGTGCACCCCAGAGTCAGCTTCCAGACATACTTTCCCTGGAAGTACAATGGATGCATGGTTAATTTAGCAGTGAACTCAGACTGCTGCTGCTCCACATGGTGTTATACAACTACCCACAACTACAGCATCTCACAGGACCAATTTCAGTAAAACCACCTGATGTTAAAGAAGTTCCTTGGGTCATGTGAAAAGGGAGAGATTGGATTCACATAAGTTTTCCTACCTTCATATTCTCCTGCAAATACATATCTGTCCACTTGTAAAATGGGCCTCTCTGTCTCTATTCCCTATGCAAAGAAGGATAAAATTGCACAATGTCAGGTCTGTATTAGCCCAGGTGAATTTCTCTCTTTAAGACCAGCAAAGACAAACATAGCAGAATCCAGATTATATCAATTCCACATCATACATGTTCCTTTAAGTATATTAAATGCAAAAAAAAGCCCCCAGATAATACTCTTTTAGTAATCATAATAAAACCTAGTATAGAACTGTATATGAAATGCTCTAGTATATTACAACAAATTCAGATCAAACTGCAGCCAATAATCTAGATAAGTTAAAGTGCTGTTATTTCTTCTACAAAATTAATGTAACTTCCATTTCAAATTAACAAAAATGTAGGTGTTTGCATGAAGATGATGCTATTTTCTAAGGTTCAATTAATACAAGTTCTAGAAAGTGGAATAACTTTAAAATTGGAAAATACACAGGGTGAAGAAGCCCAGCATAAGGCACCACATCAGCACCAGAAGTGCCACTGCAGGGTTACAGAAGCTTCTGTGATTACTGTGTGTCTCTGTTGTGAAGGAGTTGGAAATTGTTGCTATTTTATTTTTTAACAAGGAGTGGAAGAGTAAGAAAGCACTTGTGTCAGCTCATTCCCTTCCTCTAGAGCGCAGGTTTTCCAAATACACAAGCCAGCATCCCATTTTTATTTATATAATATATATCTATATACTGTATTTTGATAAAAATCAGTGTCTGAAGAGAACACACTAATTAATGCAAAATGTCTTTGAATAGTACATTATGAACATCAGAATTATTCAGGACATGAAGACAAGCACTTGCTAAATGTTTTGAAGATAAGGCATTACATGGTAAATTGCATAAAATACAGAATATCACACAGGTTAATATGAATTTGTGCAATTTTCCTCTTATATATTTGTTTCAAAAGTACAAAATCAACAAAATTTAAGCTCTGGGATTCTTTCTTCTGCATAAATTGAGAACACAAATAACACTAAGCTAACACATAGAACATATTTTTGTGGGTTTTTTTCTTCTACGAGAAATAAATACAATTAATAACACATCAGTACTAAATAGCATTATAGGGGTTTTACAGTCAAAATTTTATTTCTGTGGCTGATTTGCATTCCTTTGTGGACCATACAGACTTGGAGACTTGTCTTTCCCTGATGCGAGGAGCATCTCAGAAAACTTGCTAAACAGAATAACACGGAGCAAACTCTTTAATTAAGGTTTTAACAACAGTTGTGCCTCAGGAAAAGTCTCAAGGAATGCTTACTCTGTGGAGTGAACTCAAGTACACGTGGATACAAGTAGGACACAGTATGGATACTTTAACCTTTTAGCAGTAACATTACAAAGGACTTTCAAAGCACAACATTTAAAAGAATCCCAGCAGCAGTAGTGAAGCCTCTGCAGCCATTCAGCCATCAGTATGAATGATACATGTAACAAATTTCAAGAGAATCAGATGAGATCAAGGAAGGAAACCTGCATACCCATCCAAAGATGAGTATTTCATGAATTTTGATTGTATTTCTACTTCTGACACATTCAGAATTGACTTTACCACTCACATATATTGTGATCAGTGGCACACTCAGATGATCTCTTCCATCTTTTCAGCCTATAATATTAAAGGTCCACTTTGAGAAAGTATTTGCAAATCAGCAGTACTTTTCCTATTTATACAATTCTCATACATAAGTTTTGAAGGGCAAATAAAATCTGTCCCATACAGATAAAGTGATTAAAAAACTCAAAAGGAACAGGACAGAAAAACTAGATTCCTACAATAACCTTACAGTGAAGGAAACGACATCCAAAACTGCTCATGAAATGCTTAATACCCAGTTATCCTTTACAAGACTTGAACTTGCCAGGACACATCTGCAAAAAAGCCCATTGTAAATACAGTGCAAATCTTAAATATTTTGCTTTCCCTGTCCGCTGTATTCCAGTTATTCGAGTGTGATTAACATTTATGGTTTTTTTAACATGTGCAATACATAATTTAAAGAAAAATTAACTTAGAACTTGAAATCAGAGCAGATACTGGTCCAAGCTTATAAATACTTTTGAAAAAGTTTCCTTATATTTATGCAATAACATATTCAAAGACTTTATGCTGTTTCTGAAAGAGAGCCCACAACATGCAGACAAGCACAACACACATAATTCTCTATCAAAGATTTGATCTAATGTTATCAATGTCAAGAAATTTAGAAGCAGCCTCACTCCCTTGTTCACATCCGTAATAACTTACCCCTTTCCTATTGTGCTGTAATCACTCACCAAAATCTTGCACTTGTTTTCACATTTTTCTAAGAAGTCTGAATCAATAATTCCTGATAGCTCAACCATGACCAGTTGCTCCTACAAGAAAAATTGATCATGTACAGCTAAAACCAATATAACAGAACTCAGGGTGGGGGAATAAAAGCCTCCCCAAAATCAATCTACACCAATAAGAACAGCATACAAAGACACAGCCTTTCAGGACAAATAGACCCCAAAGTGGAGTTTATGCTGCATTTTGTCAAGAGAGAGAACTCTTGTAATACCCAGGGAAATTCAGGGACCCACTATTCCATAAGACACCTGTTTCACACCCGAATTTCCAGGCCTTTTCTTCCTAGCAAGCAATGGGGAAGCACTTTTTTCACCCTTGAAAAACGAGCATCAGTATGGCTCTGGGGAGATCCTACAGCATCTTCCAGCACCCAAAGGGGGCCTACAAGAGAGCTGGAAAGGGACTTTTACTGTAGTGACAGCACAAGGGGTAACAGATTTAAATCTAGAGTGGGTTTACATTAGATACTGAAATTTTAATTCATGAAAATATTTTTTTTTTACTGAGGGGAGAGGTGTGGCACTGGATTTTACTGTAGTGACAGCACAAGGGGTAACAGATTTAAATCTAGAGTGGGTTTACATTAGATACTGAAATTTTAATTCATGAAAATATTTTTTTTTTTACTGAGGGGAGAGGTTTGCCCAGAGAATCTGTGGATGCCCCATCCCTGGAAGTGTTCAGGACTGCGCTGGATGAGGCTTTAAGCAGCCTGGTCTAGTGGAAGGTGTTCCTGCCCATGGCAGGGCTTTGGAACCAGATGATTTTTAAAGGCCCTTGCAACCCAAACCCTTCTCTGATTCTGTGACTTTATGGCGATAGGAAGCAACAGAAACTGCAAATGTGCTCTTTGACCACGCCGTTTTCGGGGAAGCCCGAGGAACAACAGCCAGACCCACACAGCTCTGGGGACGTCACCGCTGTGGGGAATGAGAAACCCGCCGGCCCCAGGGAAACGCGCTCGGTCCGCGACCGGCCCCTCTCCCTGCCTGCCCCTCCGGCCGGGCGGAGCGGGGCCGGGCCACGCCCCGCGGGGGGCCGGACCCTTCCCCCGGGGCTGGGGAGCGCCCCGGTGTCGGCATCCACCAACCTCCACCTCGTCCTCCTCCGCTCCGTCGCTCCTCCCGCCCTCGCTGCCCGCCGCCGCCATGTCGCCAGCGCCCGCCCCGCGCCCGCCTCAGCGCGCACCACGTGGGGCCCGCGCCGCCATCTTAGAGCGGAGCGGCCCCGCCCTCGGAGCTGCGCCGCCCTCAGGGCCCGCTCCGCCCTCAGGGCCTCGCCGTGCGCCGAGCGGGCCCGGCTTCCCCTCAGCGCCGAAAACGAAAATACGAGCTGTTTTGTGACACTCCCGTACGCTCTGCGAATTTTTCTTGAATCTCAGATGTGGTACTGGAAAATAGGAGTCCCTAAAGTATCATCCTTCCCTCGCCCTTTTATTAAAAAAAAAAAACGGTTACCAGACACGTCTTATTAACGCAATGTCCTGCTTCTGGTACAGACCATTAGTTTAGAAAGCTTTTATTAAATAATAAAATATGCAGTTAGTTTCTACCACTCGTGTCCTTTGCATGATGCTTTCCAGTTATCTTGGCAGATTCAAATACACCCCACCAAAAACATCCTTTTGACCAGGGTTTCTGAGATAGTCTCTTAATTTATAAGTGCAGGATGTTGTTGTCCACCAAAATCGTATTTGTTTCCCAGTGTGCCACAATAATTACAATATAAGCCAATAATTGTACACGTGAGAGAGACATTGTTTATTTTATTTCAGAGTTCTGCTAGCCTGGGTGCCCAGCGGAATTGCACAAATCAAGCCCAACAACTATCAACACCTTTTGCTATTTATACATGCCAGCAAACAGGAATTAGTGTTCATCAGCTACACGTTACATAATGCTTGTATTAATTAGTGTTCTATCTTCTATTGGTTAATTATTCTCTTGCTTCTCATGCTAATCAGTCCCATGGTGTTTCTCTTCTCCAAGATGGGTTTTTGGGTCAATGATGTGTGGTTGGGATCTCCTGCTGCAGAATTACCTTTTACCCAGTCACAGCTGGTTCAGCACAGCTGCTGGGTAAGGTTTATTCGTTTCTTCCTGATCTTGGGGGTTCTGCCCAATGTCCTTGTGGCCCATAAATTCTGCATTCTTTGTGTCTGCTGTCAGTGGTACATCCTTCTCCCCAACTTTGTTAACCTCCCTCTGGGTGCGAGATCACTGAAACCTGCCAGGCCCTAAAGCTTAGCAAGACAATTCTACCAACCAGTAATTTGTCTTTCTAACACCTGCACATCACTTAGAGCTTGTGGGCTGCTGTCTGTTTCAGACTAAATCTCCCATCTTGTTGATTAGGCTTGAAAGTATACAAAAATCAAGCATTAAAGAGCATCCTTTTCTTGAGAAAATGTTGCACAGTCCACATTTTGCTGCAATGTTGCACTCCATAATTATAAGTTTTACACCGGTTTTGTAATTTTCCCATTTTCTTTCCATATGCTATATTTTATATTTTGTATCAAAGGTGTCTCTCTACTCGTTATGTTGAAGTCATTAATTAAAATGTTAATTTAAAACTGTTTGCAAGGGAAATTTTCTTCCAGCCTCTCCTTAACTTCCATAAAATAGACATAAATGTCAGCATTCACCATATTAAGTGTTTACCTATGTCCAGATAGGTGTGATCTAATGCATTTCTCCTTTTCCTAGAAAAATTACAGATCTTAATAATGTCAAATAAGTTTACCAGGGTTTTTATTTGGCTTTAGGCTTTGTCTCATTTTCTCTTAAGCTTCACATTTTTAATTACTTTTTCTTAGAGCTTGTTTTGGAATATTGCATACTGCTGTGGTAAAAACAGCCCATAAATCTGGATTTGTTCTAAATACAGAAAAAGATGCTGAGTCATGTTACCTTTTCAGCAGGCAAATTGCAAAGGCTTGAATTTTGACTGCAGGGAATAAAAGCTGTGGAACAGATGTTTGGTTTTCTGCAAGTGTTAATTATCAGATATTTTAAAATAACATTTTGTATTATTGTCTGTATTTAGCTTTGTGTTTTTGCACCAGGTCTCCCTCACTTTAGATAAAAGTTTTGTTGTTAAAAAAAAAAGCTCTACCTCAATAAAACAGAATTGACTCTCTATTCTGAATATTTATTTTTTTTAATTAATTGTCATAACTGACAGTGCCTCTGTAATGCTACATTAATACCATCATTCTCTTTTTATAGCTGGAGGGAGGTGAAGTGATACGGTTAAAAACTACAGAAAGCCCTCACAGGAATGTAAATGTGTGCCAGATCAGCCTCTGTAAATCATAGACTGGCATGAACTGCTGTGAAGGAGCAAGTACATTTATTTGCTTTTAAATCAGCCTAAGTGTCATGTAGAATCCGGGTTCATCTCAGTCTCCCAGTTATGGTGATTCAGGGCATGCAGCTGGATGATGGGAAATTTTTGGTGCATTAGTGCCAAAGGTATTTTAGAAGAGATTACTGCCTTGTCAGGCTAAATTTGCCGTGGGCATTAGTGGTTTACCTTGGTCTTTGCTATCCTGGCAGGAGTATTTTGACAACTTATCTCTTAAAAGAAGCTGTCCTCGGAGCCTGCCAGCAAGATTGAACTGCTTGATGAGATAAATATGGAAATACACGTCTTGAGGACCCAGATTTTGGGTTTCTGAGGCCTCAGCTAACAGTCCTGTCAGTGCTTGAACAGATTTACGTGTGCATGCTGCCAGAGGCCAGTTCCTTGGTGGCTCTTTACGTAATTCTGAGTCAGGGAGAACTAAATGGCCAACTTAAAATAAATGCTTGTGTTTGAGATCTAAGTATGTAATATGGATGCACTGGTTTCTGTGGGCTCACCTCCAATTCATGCACGTTAATATGTATTTTATTTTGGGCCATGCAGTTTGCAAAATTTACTTGTGGGAGTTCATAGATTAGAGGCTTGGACTATCTATTTAGCAAAGAAACATTGTTGCAGTTAAGGTGCATTACAGGAAATCAGAGAAAGTTCACTGAAACACATAATGAACAAATTCTGGCTTACTACTTTGTCTCACTTTTCCATTTTATTTTGATTTTTATCTTCATGTTTGAAATTCCTTCTCAATCCTTTTGCAGAAGGGAGGTGCCTTTTCTCCATTCCCTCCTGAACACATTACTTTCTTTGTGAGGCCTTGGCACTAGTCTATCTAAGTAAAAGGTTAAATGTTTTGTAAAAGCACAGAGTAAGATAAGGGTCTTTGTTTAAGCTCTTGTGTTCTTTTCTGTCTGTTTAGATTGTGAGTGTCTCTGGTTGAAAGCCTTTTGTATTATGTGGTGAAAAAACATAGGATTTAGCATTCAAAAAATTATAATAGATCATATGTGGGCAAATATACACACACAACTTATATTTAATCTTTGTATCTGAGCTATTTGCTGAGTTGACAGCCTTGGGAGAAGGGCATTGTAGTTCCTAGGCTTATTTTCAGTTGGAAATGTAGCTAAAAGCAATAATGTGACAAAAGGTGATTGCCTGTGGATGTCAGAAGAGATTCTCAGTAAAATGCTACCATGTGAAACATCTAAATGCCATAATACAGCGTTGTAAGGTGCAGAGAGATGCAGGAGAAAGCTTGTAAGAGACTGATGTGTGTTTCTGGCTGTAGCTGGGGTTGCAAAAGGTAAATCATCCCCAGGACAAAGGTAATTTGCTGATAGTATTACAGAAGATGATTTCCATTTCTCAGCAGCTACATTGCTGAGCCTCTTCAGTTAGGAATTTGCAAGCCAAACCAGCTCACAGGTTTTGACAAAAAAATATAAAAAACCCCACAAAACCCCCACCTGTTTGTTTCCTTTGCACATGTGCCTTTGTCTTTTCCAGAACTCCTTAAACATTATGTAGGGACATAATAGGAATTATATTAGATGAAGAAAAGAAGGGTAAGTACAGTAAGGGGTACAGAGCTGCTTCTATTTACAGTGCCTAGTCTAAAATAATGGAGTGAGATTTTATAGTAGGAAGGGAAGGGGGAGCAGTGGGCTCACATTTTTTCCCAGTCTTTTGTTTATCCCCTGCAGAAGTACTTCTTGTTGTCTTTGACATCCATCACTGCCTTCAGTTCCGGCTGGGCTTTACCTTTTGGGACCTCATCCCTGCATACATGAACAACGTGTCTGTTTTCCTCACAGGTCCTTGATTCTACCTTCTCTATGCTTCCTTTTTGTGTTTGAGTTTGTAGGTGCTCCTTGTTCACCCACAGAGGTCTCCTGGCATTTTTGCCTCACTTCCCACATGTGTTTCCTGGGCTCCCTATTCCCTCCAGGGCCTTATTCTATGGGGCTCTGCTAAAAGTCCTCGAGGAGACACATTTTTTCTTGTCTTCCTGAGGGAATAAGAGTTTGGCTGTTAAAAGAGATTAATGCTGCCTCCTGCATGTAGCCAGCTCAGAGCTTCAAATGCTCCTTCCTTGGGAGCACGCTGAAGAAACTTGGTGCTGTACCCACACGTGGAAGGGATGCATCTTCACGTCTATGAGTGACAGGTCAGGAGGAGAGTGGTGTGGCAAAGCTGAGAACTGCTGCAGTGTCCTTCATGGAGATCTGAAACAGGGATCCCTCTCAGTAAACTTGGCAGGTGACAATCTTCTGAAGCAGGTGGTAACATATAGGGAGTAAATTAAATTACTTGTTATCCAGCTGGATCAGAAGGGGATGTCTATCTATAGAGCTGACCTGCTAATTTATGAAATGTCAAAGTTTGAGATCTTTTACAGGACCTCAGATAATCTGGCATCAGTTATTTGAGGTACCAGGATAAAAATTCTTACTCCTGTTGGGTTGAAAGCAGCTGACAGCCCTTGACTTCAAAATTCACCAGGAATAATTATTATTCAGGGCCAAGCTCTTATACAATCCCATCTGGCCTGTCTGTATTTCATAGAATGAGAGAATGGCTTGGGTTGGAAGGAACCTTAAAGATTACCTGCTTCTAACCCCCCTACCATGGGCAGGGACACCTTGCACTAGACTGACTTGCTCAGAGCCCCTTCCAGCCTGGCCTTGAAAATTCCCAGGGACTGTGCATCCACAAGTTCTCTGGACAACCTGTTCCAGTGCCTAACCACCCTCACAATAAAGAATTTCTTCCTAACATCTAATCTAAACTTGCCCTCTTTCAGTTTAAAGCCATTCCCCCTTGTCTTATCACTTTGTGCTCTTGTAAAAAGTCCCTCTTCAGCTCTCTTGCAGCCCCCTTTATATACTGG